TTTTCGGGTAAGATTTTTGGGTTCCTACGTGTCAATACTATTCATATCAGATAAGATTTTCGGTTTCACATTTCAGATAAATTTCGAATTTCAAAATTCAAAATTCAGATAAATTTCAAAATTCAAATTTCAGATAAATGTCAAATTTCAAATTTCAGATAAGATTTTCACCCTCTAAAATTGCGCCACGTGTCATCTCTATCTGCCTAAATTATTCTATAAAACCAGAGGCTCACCTCATACCTCCCACACCATATCTTCTCTACATTTTCCATTTCTCAGATTTCCATATCTTCTCTACATTTCCATTTCTCATATTTTAGATTTCAATCTCCATTCTCAATGGCAGACATGGAAGAGGTTTTGGAGAGACAAGAGCGAGAAACTAGAGAAAGAATGCGTAGAAGAGCTACAAGCAAGAGGGTGCAAAGAGAACTAGATGAGCAACTTGGCATAGCAGTGGCTTTGCTTGAGGAAGAAAACCAGAGCCGCCGTGGTTCACGTGAAGGCCATCGCCCGAATGTGGACAGACATAGACATTCTTGGGGTAAGAATCTTCTAGAAGATTATTTTATCCCACAATCTCTGTACTCTGATGTTCATTTTCGAGCAAGATATAGAATGCAACCTCATTTGTTCAATAAAATCATGCATGATATTTGCAATTATGATGAATATTTTGTTCAAAAGAAAAATGCTGCTGGAAATTTGGGACTTCTTCCCGATCCTTTTTTTCAATGTTTTCTTGGCGTACATACTCCTTTTCTTTGCGTATATACTCCCTTTCTTTTGCATATTCTAGTTGAATTTCCATGTCATGCTCTTGTTGTTTCATATCCATTTCAATCCTCATGGCTTGGTGCTTTGAAATGTCCTCCAAAAATTTAGATGCATTCTTGGTAGAATTACTCCCTCTCTTCGCCTTCGCCGCTTTCCTCCCAATAGGCCTAGGCTCCCTTTCGATAGGTGAGTCTTGACTCATCGGGGAATCCATAGGTGAATCCGTTGTCGGTGTCTCATGGAGTGGCGTTTCATTCAACACCACCTCTGGACCCGTTAGAATAATTTGGAATCTCTTACAATTCTTCACTGCCTCCCAACATTGGGTATGATTG